ACCCCCCGCCCGCCACACACACTTCACACACACACACACACACAACAACACACCACACACACACAACTACACACAACACACAACACACCCACACACACATACACACGCAGCACACCACACACACAACCACCACACACAGCACACACACACACACACACACACACAACCCACACACACACACACACACACACACAACACACACACACCACACACCACACGCGACGCACACCGGCACGCACACACACATTGCTCACTCACACGGGCAAGGAGCAGCGAAGGCACGCAGCCGCAGGCGTTACCGTTCGTCCAACGCGCGTATAACATCCTACATATACGCTATTGTATCTTATATCAATAATATCATATAATATATATATATATATATATATTGATATATATATATATATATATAATATATATATATGGGTGTGCATATATGTCCAAACCGTAAACGACTACGCACCAATCACTGTCGAGACGCGATTAAGATGGCGGCAGAGAGACTCGCACCGACGGCAGTCTCCATACCGCAGCAGTCGCCATCGGTCATGATCGCCTGCCGACGTAAATGCCAAGCTAATGTATGCGTCGCATCGTGACAGGCCGAAGTTTAGCGACCACCGACGCGCTTTCTAGCAGAAACAGATGTCACTGCTCGCGGGCACGCCGACGCCGGCAGCCGTCGACGACGCTGCGTCGTCGTCGGCGGCGGCAGACGTCGCCGTGGTGTTTCCCGCCGACGCCGTATGGCTGGCGTTCACCTTCTGCGTCGTCTACGCAATCGTCGGCAGCGTCGGCAACGTGGCGACGGTCGTAGCGGTCGGCAACTCTCGCAAGCTGCGTCGCAATTCGGCCAACTTCTTCGTCGTCAACCTGGCGGCGGCCGACCTCGTCTTCTGCGCCGTCATACTGCCGCTGAACGCCGTCAAGTGGTACGAGCGTCGCTGGACGCTCGGCGCGACGTTCTGCGTCGCCTACCCGTGCCTCTTCTACGGCGCGCAGGCCGCATCGATCATGCTCATGCTGGCGGTCACCGTCAACCGCTACGTCGCCATCGTGCACAACCACCTCTACGCGAAGATCTACGGCCGACGCGCCGTCGTCGTCGCGATGGTCGTCTTCTGCTGGCTGTTCGTCGGCGCGATGCTGGCGCCGCAGGCCGCCGGCGCGTGGGGCGAGTTCGGCTACAAGAACGCGACATTCTCGTGCACGTTCCGCGAGAACGACGGCGGAAACTCGCAACCGTTTCTCTTCGTCGTCGGCGTCGTCGTTCCGCTGGCGATCATGACGGTCTGCTACCTGCGCATACTGCTCACCGTGCGCGCCAGCCGCGCGCTCGTGCGTCGCTTCAGCGCCCCTCGCCAGGGGGAGCAGCGCGACCAGCGGCGGCGCATCAGGCGCAACGACCGTCGGCTGGCGACGATGATGATCGTCGTCTTCGCGGCGTTCGTCGGTTGCGCGGCGCCGGCCGTCGTCATCGATTTCGCGCTCGGCGACGCCGACCTGCCGACGCTGCAGGTCGTCGGCTTCGTGCTCACGTGGACGTCCAGCGTCGTCAATCCGCTCATCTACGCCTTCTCCAACACCAACTACCGGCAGGCGTACAGCGACGTGTTCTGCTCGCGACGACGACGCGGCGTGCAGCGCTGGGCGAGCCGCAAGTCGAGCACGGTGACGACGACGATATCGACCAGCTCCGGATACAGCTTGTCGCGCACGGCCAGCGCTTCCGGATCCGGGAAGCGGCGGGTCAACGACGACGCGCCGCAACGTGGCGTTGCCGACGACACGCTGTAACACGCTGCACGAATGCGCTGCAAGTGAGATGAGATGTATATATCTATATATCTATATAATCTATATATCTTTATATCTATATATCTATAATTATATCTATATATCTATATATCTGTATTATCTGTATATCTGTATATCTGTATATCTATGTATCTGTATATCTATATATCTGTATATCTGTGTATCTATGTATCTATATATCTATATATCTATGTATCTATATATCTATATATCTGTATATCTGTATATCTATGTATCTATATATCTATATGTATCTGTATATCTGTATTATCTAGTTCTGTATATCTGTATATCTATGTATTTATATATCTATATATCTGTATTATCTAGATCTGTATATCTGTATATCTGTATATCTATATATCTATATATCTATATATCTGTATTTCTATGTATCTATATATCTATATA